CTCCTCATCCTGCTGCTGGTTCAGTTCTTCAGACGGTCAGGAACTCCATCACCTCCTCATCCACCTGCCTGCCAAGTGTGGATGTAGAGGACATCTGTCCTGGGTCCATGGATGGGCTGAATGCTGCTCGCTGCATCAACTGCACTTATCTGAATCACAGAAAATCAACAGGTTAACAAAACTGATTTATTTTAACTTTATTTAATGAATTATATTAGCTTTATTTATATTGAGTTTATAATATTACTGCTAATACAAGTATTTGACCTGATGTGGGGTGGAACTGGCTTCCACTGGTTGTAGTGCTGATGGAGCCTGATGGTCTTAGTCCTCTGATACAAAGGTCTGGAGACAGGTCCTCAGTGGGTCCACAAACAGATTCAGGTCCACGTTGAATAAAAGTAAATTAAACGCAGTTATAATATCACACAGTCACAGCCAGCAGTCTCATTAATCAGACAACAAACATTTTTCTACACACATTGGTCACTGAAATCTGAAGGAAGTAGTTTTGTAGTAGTTAAAAACAGATTAACTTAGTTAAACACAGTTTAACTTTGATTTATGGTGATTCTAATTAAAATCAATGTCCGTGTAGTTCTGACAAAGCTTTAAAAATGTAGCCAACAAGGTCTTAATAAACAAAACAAAATATAGTCAGAGAAAGCTTTTTAAACTCACCATTAACACCAGTTAGGCTTTTGTTCTTTTCAAGCCGTTCTAAATAAACTTCGACTGAACAGGAAACACGAAGCTGTTTTTTCTTTCCTATTATCATCATGCTAACGCTAACACCATGCTAACAACAACAATCAACGAAGCTCTACCTTCAGCATAGAAACTGTTTAAACACATCCTCTTACAAATACTGACAAGTACTACGTGTACCAAATGTGAAATAAATAAGTCCCCGGGTGATCAAGATGTTGCAGGATGAAAGGCAGTCCCATGTTGACTGCATCATCCACTGACCTATTTGCCCGGTAGGCAAACTGCAGGGGGTCTAGCAGATGACCAGTGATGTCCTTCAGATGGGTCAGGACCAGCCGTTCAGAGGACTTCATGACCACAGACGTTAAGGCGACGGACCTGTAGTCATTCAGACCTGTGATGGAGGGTTTCTTGGGGACTGGAATGATGGTGGAACATTTGAAGCAGGAAGGAACTTCACACAGCTCCAGTGATCTGCTCAATATATTTGTGAAGATTGGAGCCACTTGTTCAGCGCAGGTCTGAAGGCAGGAAGGTGAGACACCGTCTGGTCCTGGAGCTTTCTTGATCAATCTGCTCACATCATCTTCGCATATCTGGTATGCAGCTTGAGTGGTGGGGGGAGGGAGAGATAGAGGGTCCTCACTGTCTTGTTGATGAGCTGTGGGGTTGTGGATAGGTGTGAATGAGTTCTTCTCAAACCTACAATAGAAGCTGTTCAGGTCGTCAGCGAGGGCTTTGTTAGCCTTGGCAGCGGGGGATGGTCTTCTGTAGTTTGTGATGTGCTGAAAGCCTCTAAACACTGAACCAGTGTCGTTGGCTGAGAGCTAACTTTTCAGCTTTTCAGAATAGCATTTTTTTAGCCACTCTGATTTCCCTGGTCCATGTGTTCCTTGACTTTTTGTACAGTGCTCTATCCCCTCTCCTGTAGGCCTCAGCTTTAGCCTGACGATGCTGACTGAGCTTGTTTGTGAACCATGGCTTACTGAATGAGCGGTAGGTTTTTGTTTGAACACACAGATCTTCACAAAAACTAATGTAGGATGTGACGGTGTCAGTCCAATCATCCAGATTGTCTGTAGCGGCTTCAAAAACACTCCAGTCAGTGCAGTCAAAACAGTCCTGAAGATCTTGCTTTGCTTCTCTGGTCCACTTTTTCACTGTTCTCACTACGGGCTTTACAGTTTTCAGTTTCTGCCCGTAGGTTGGAATAAGATGAACCAGACAGTGGTCAGAGTGACCCAGGGCTGCGTGAGGCACAGAGCGATTGATAGGCATCGTTCAAGACAGTGTAGCAGTGATCCAGTGTGTTGTGATTCCTGGTGGGACATTAACATGTTGTTTATACTGTATTTCGGAAGCTCGTGGCTAAGTTTATCTTTGCTGAAGTCACCAAGTATGATGAAGAGGGAGTCTGGGTGTTTTAGTTCCAGTGCAGTTATTTGTTCGGTCAGGTTTTTCACTCACAGGCTTGAGGTGGGATATAAACACCGACCAGAATGAATGAGGAAAACTCCCTCGGAGAACAAAAGGGTTTACAGTTAATAAACAGAGACTCTAAGTTGGAGCTGAAGTGTTTATTTAGCACTGAGACATCTGTGCACCAACCTTCGTTAATATAGAAACAAGTTCCACCTCCTCGCGCCTTTCCCGACAGCTCCGTTACGCGGTCAGCTCTGTGGAGATGGAAGCCAGGCAGATGTAGCGCGCTGTCCGGTACGGACTCACTGAGCCAGGTTTCAGTGAAGCAGAGAGCCGCCGAGCGTGAGAATCCTTTGACGGACTTGTTGATCAGAAGCAGTTCGTCTATTTTGTTGAGAAGAGAGCGGAGGTTTGCTAGATGAATTGCCGGGAGAGCCGTTCTGAATCCACGCATGGTGAAGCTTCACATCATCACCGGCGTGCGTAATTGGGTTTGAACTGCATAAAGCACACAAAACTAGCAAAAACACACATAATACCGGATAGCGCTGTGCCGAGGCTGCCACTCGCGACGCCATCTTGCTTTCTGATGATYCAGATGATGATTAGTTAATATACAGTATGTTTGATCAGCAGCAGCTGCCTGAAACTGAACCATACACAGCAAAAACAGGTGTTAAAATGTCAGTGTTAAACTTTTGGGTGTTGATTTAACACCCCCTAGTGTTATTTTAACACTTTCTGAGTACACTCACACCCAGTGTTGGTGTTAATTCACATGGTTGATTTCCTCAGTGTTGTCTCAACACTGGACAGAGTTAAATAAGCTCCGCCCACATTAAGTCTTATACAACACTTAACAGTGTTGTTATATAACACCATGCAGTGTTGAAAGAAGTTTTCTGAAAAGCCCCACCCTCTTCCACCTCATGTCAGACAGACCAGTATTTACCCAGCATTCCTTGCTGAGAAATCTTGCAGAAATGATGTTTTTGCATGTTTATGACTATTAAAGAAGTTCATGAGAGTAAAAATTAGTTTTTCCGGTTAGTTTTCTTGTTCAGTTTGATCAAGTTGTTCAACTTTAAGTTTACGTTATTGGCCAAAATCGACACCATGAGTGAGAGGTATGTCCTGGTGTGTTAAGAGTGACTCCATTACACTTTACCATTAAGTGTTGATGCAACACTCCAAAGAGTTTGACATTAACTCTGAGTGTTAAATTTACACTCAATTTGATGGTGTATTGACACCTTGTGGTGTCTGTTAACCTTTCAAACACCACCATTTCCTTTGTTAATAATAATACACTGCTTTTAAAACTGTATTTTTAACACTGGTGAAATGTTAATATGACACCCAGTATTGTTGAATAATAAACACAGGTTGGTGTTAAATTAACAAAAAAAAATGAGTGTTAAATTTTAACACTTTCATATATGTTATTTTAACACCAGCGAGTGTGGACACATATAGACACTTTGTTGGTGTTAAAATTAACACTGGCTTTTTTGCTGTGTACATGCTATAGTAGCAGCATTGTACATGCACAGTTTTCCATTTTGGCTTTGGTTCTGTTGTGGGTTTTTGAACACTTGTGTTTAAACTAGAACAATTTTAAAAGCTGATAAAGACCAGATCCTTTTTTGATTAGGCCCTAATATGGAAAAGCCTAGAACTGAATGGAGGGTAGATTTCTTATTCCTGTGACTGCAGGATTTTCCATATGATTGTCTGGGCTTGGTTGTTTTCATAATCTTGTGACAGTTTTGGTCGTAACCATCATGATACCACTTTCAGACAGATACACAGAGAGCTCCAGTTTTGTCTCATCTGTTCAAAGGACATTTTTCCAGAAGCACAGAGGCTCGTGAGTATTTTATTCTGGTGTTACCATCCTTTTTATCGAGGCCAGTTTTATTAGTTTGCTTTTGCAAAATAATTCTATTTAAAGGGCCAATATTATGTGTTTCTCAGGCATGTATTTAAATACTATACCATAACAAAGTATCTGTCACCTTTAGCTGTTATTAAAATGCTTGTTTTTATGTTTAAATAGAAAATAAACTTATCTTCTCATCACTTCCTCTTCTAAACACCTTGAAATTGGCCTCTGTCACTTTGAGAACCACCTTCCGCTTCTGTCTCGCCCAATTCAGTGCGGGGGGGGGGGCTATGATGCAGCTCACTTGGCATTTAAAAATACATTTCCTCAAAGGTATTTTGAATCTGAAAAGAGCTTCACTGAGTGGGAACTAATGTTGAGAGCTCAGCAGACACTTAGGTTTCACTTTCACCCGAGAGCCTGCAGGAGTCATGGGCGGGGTGTGTGGGGAGAGGGGAGGGAGTGTGCCCCGCCATGAAGAAGTTCGGCTTAAAGATACGTCCCAGGGGCATTTCTGGTCCCCACCTGTCGTGTTTCTCCTCAGCATGGCTGCCTAAAAACGCTGCAGGATTTCTCAAACATGCATGAATGAGTCAAAGCAAGGCTTTGGGCATGTTTTTTTTATGAGAGTATAATGTTATAACATGATATAAAACTCAAAAAAGTTGATTTTACATTACAGTATATTGTCCCTTTAACTAAAATTCATAAGCAATGATTGATTTAGTTGTTTTTATGTTATCTCCTTATTATATTTTCAGTTTCAAGCTAGTTCAGTGACCTTTGTGGGTTTTTCTTTCTTTAACTAAAAAGTAGAAACATATTTATTCTGGTCCTTATGTTTCCCAAAACCACCATTCCAAACTAAGTGTAAAATTGAATGAGTTCTGTCCGTTTTGTGTGTTTCTTGTTGTCAGCTGGGTTGTTGTGTTTTTTTTTCACATTGATGTTAAATGTTTGTTAATGATTTATGATTAAGTAACAGGAAGACGAGTAATAAAAAGAGGAATTCCTGTGAGGAAAAAAGAGGAAGTGAGCTTGAGCTTTATATCAAATCTCTTTTCAGAACAGTACAAGAACCATCTATTCTCAGAGTCAAAGTTTTAGATCTGAACTCTCAAAACTTTCTGCAGTCATGTCTATGGAAAGGTAATTTTCTTTCACTTTTATCTCTTTATCTGAGTTCATTTTTTCTTGTATTGCTTCAGGAATGTTCTTGTTTTAATAAAGCATTGTGTTCAGCCATTTATTTTGACTATTTTTTTCTGATTTGTTTTGGTATTTCAGGGGATGTGTTGCTTTGTTAACTGGGACCATTGCCATTGTCCTCCTGTCAAACACTGACTGCACAGCTGGAAAACAAGATGGCCTGGGAATTAAACTGTGCGTCACAACGAGGCGAGGACTGAAAGACTTCTCCTATCAAAATCTGACAGATGTCCCCTCAGATATCTCTAATGAAACTCAGTACTTGGATATTTCTCACAATTTCATCTGCAGATTGAATGGGACTCAGTTTGTGGGATTGTCCCAGCTCTGTTTTCTGAAGGTGACACACTGCGGTCTGAGAGAGATTTCCTCTGATGTGTTTGACCACATGCCAGTGCTGAAAGTCCTTGACATATCATTCAATGATTTATCATTCAAACCTGACCTGTCACTGAAACAGCTAAAGATTTTGGACTTGAGTAACAATCTGTATAACAGCTATCGTTTACCTTCGTCTTATCAGAACTTAACAAAGTTGGAGACGCTGTCATTGGGCAGCACAGCTGCTGCAATGGTCAGTTATGATGACTTTGAACCGTTAACAAATGTGTCTCTACACCATCTGATTTTGGGAGCAGGAACCCAATGGAGAAAATATGATTCTGGTGCTCTTGCAAAAATCAGAATGCTCCAAAAGATTTCCCTTCATGCATCTTTCTGTAAGAACTTCACAATGTTGGAGAACCTTCTGTTGGATTTGAATAAAACCCAAGTGAAGTCTCTGAGGTTCATCACTGTATTTCCGAATGACTGCCATGTGAGCGGCGACCCATTCAGACACCTGAGAACAATGACGCTCATAGAGAACATCACATTAGAAAACACTTGGATAAACAGCTCTTTCCTGGAGGTTCTCCTAAAGGATGTGTGGCTCTCCCCACTTCATGACCTCTCATTTGTGAACATCACTTATAATGAAGACACACCAGATGGGTTTCAATTTCACACCATCAACCACACGATTAATCTGTTCTCCATCACGTTCAATGGTGTAAATCACTATCAGTACAAGTATCCGACTATTAACATGAGCTTTGAGGCTATCTCCAAACTGACATATCTGAAGTTCTCTGGGACTGGGATGAACATTTTACCCTGCAAAGTCATTTCTGCCTTGCCTTCCCTGGAGACCCTAGATCTGTCAGACAACCTGTTATCAGAATCTGGTTTCTGGTGGCCTCTGTGTTCACACTCGTCTGCCTTTCCGAAACTGAAGCAACTGTCTTTAAGCAAAAACCGTTTCATCAGTCTTTCCTTCATATCTCAGAAGATGAAGGACATGAAGACATTGCGGTGCCTAGACCTCAGCTTTAACTCCATCGTCTTGGATGGAGGCTGCTCTTGGCCCCAGCAGCTGACTGAACTCAGCCTGGAGAGCAATAACCTGGGCAACGATGTCTTTAAGTATCTGTCGTCTAACTTTGAGAGGATTAACTTGTCAAAAACAGGAATAACAGCAGTGACACAAGACGATCTTTCTCAGTTCAAAAAGCTGAAACATCTCATTCTCAGTTCCAACAGCATCCAAGTTCTCCCTGAAGACCTGAATGTCCCCAATCTTGAAAGTCTTTATTTTGACCAGAATGCAATCACGTCTATATCCAAGGAGGTGCTGGCAGGACTACCAAGACTCAACACCCTCAGAGCTGGAAGCAACCCATTTTCCTGTTCCTGTGAGTCATATTGGTTTGTTTCTGGGTTCAACAAGTCTTTGTTGGTGGACTGGCCATTAGATTATACCTGCAATACCCCACCATCCCTTGCAGGCCGGTCTCTGTCTGAGTATAAAACCAGTAAGCTGTCATGTGAGGCTTGGCTCCAGGTTGCAGTGGCTTTGCCTACAGTGATTGTGGTATCTGCTGCTATAAGTCTGCTTTTCTACAAGTATGACGGGATCTGGTACACAAAGATGTTATGGGTCTGGATCAGAGTGAAAAGGCGAGGCAAGCAACGTTGCAATGAATTAAATAGTGTAACATTTTGTTACCACGCTTTTATCTCGTATAGTCATCAGGACTCTGACTGGGTGGACAGCCAGCTGGTACCCTCCCTCGAAGGTGCCGGTTTTTCTCTTTGTGTCCATGAGCGAGATTTTGTCCCTGGTGAATGGATCATAGACAACATCATTAACTGTGTGGAGTCCAGCTACAAGACACTGTTTGTACTGTCAAAGCACTTTGTGCAGAGTGAATGGTGCAACTACGAGCTCTTCTTCGCTCAGCACCGATCCATCAGCGTCCAGAGCGACTCCATGGTCTTCATCTTACTGGAGCCCATTCCAATGGACTCACTTCCCAAGAAGTTCTTGAAACTTCGAAGCTTGCTGAGGCAGCAGACGTACCTCGAGTGGCCAAGTGATGAACGGAAGCAGAAGTTCTTTTGGGCAAATCTTAAAGCTATGCTGAAGATGGCAGATAAATCAGTTGTTCTGAAGGAAGTGGCTCAAGCCATTTCAGATACTCTTCCTCTTGTTACCGACCAAGTGTAATTACAAGTCCTGCAGCAAGTTTGGTTTCTTTAAAAATTAAAAGGTCAGCAGAAGACACATATCCCACTACTCTTCATGCCAAAGTTTAATCTAAGATCATGTTTCATTGAAATTTTGTAGCTTTTGTAGAGTTGTAGCTGTTTTAGTCAAACCTTAAAACATGTTACACAGTTTCATGCAATTTCACAAGATGTCACAGTCTCAGCTACTATTTATACAATTTTAGCACAATTTCTGTAAAATTAATGGACTTGTAGACATGTTTGTCAGTTCAGTTGGCTGTGGCCGCCATCTTTAACTAGGTTGACTTCAAAGGGTAATTACCGTATTTGTTCAAGTATGATACGTAATATTTAATCCATAAAATCATCCATAAAGTTGCGGGGTAGTACTATACTCAGATAAATATTTTTACTTATGTATTTTAACTGAAATATCTGCAAAATGCCTGAGTCCGGAAATGAGACCGCGTTGTAAAAAGCAGTTGAAACGAGCTCACCTCTGACACTCCTCCGTGCTTCAGAGCGAGATAATAACAGAACCAGGCAGGCGACATGATGTGAAGGGGGGGTGTGTGTGTGTGTGGGGGGGGGGGGGGCACTCCTGCACCTTAGTAATGATAACGAACTAATGACATTAGCGTGTGACCGAGCCGCTCCTGGAACAACAACWAACACATGTTCGTCTGTAATGGCTGCCGTCTACCGGTGTTCTGAAAAAGTTTGTATCCCTGAAAAAATTTTCCCCACCAGAGGGGGCGCTCGCGAGTAGGAAGTAATCTGCTTTTCCCCCAGAATATGGTCCAAACCTCATGTGAAGTCTCTGACTTTTGTGTTGGCGCCTCCTGGTGGACTGTGTGTAAAATGCCAGATGCTGCTACAGCTGATACTGTATATATTTGTTGTCAAAATACCTTTTAGTACATATGTTGTTGAAATAAAATGAACCATCCAATGATCATTTTACTGATATGTATAAAGACTGCAAAGGCTGAAAACTTTTGAAGTCTGTATGAAATTGCAGGTAGTTTGAGGATTAAAATTTTTATGCTTTTTAAGCTCAAAAAAGGGGGGTCGTATTATACATGAGATTGTATTATACATGAATAAATACGGTAGTTCAAATGTGCAGTGTCCATAAAAAAGTATTCACCCTCTTAGAGATGTGAATGTTCATGTGAGAAACATTATGTCAGCATTAGTTTTCAAATGAGTTCATCATAATAATAATTGTTATCTTTTCAGTAAGTCTTTTTTTGCTATATGACAAATTTGATCCCTGATGTTTTTAAGAGTTAATGTACATCCTGCTACTGTATGAACCCTCAGTGTGTTGTTACAAAGTTTTACATTTATTTCTGCTAAAACTGTATCTTTAAAAATGTCTGAGTCTGAATAGATAGCAATCAGATGTCTTTTTAAATTAAATCACAGTATCTTTAGTTCTTTGTGTTTTGAGTCATTTATTTTAGCTAAATGTCTCCACCTGCTGTTTCTATATTAGATCTACAACAAACTGAGAAAAGAGAAGGGCTAATTTCTGGTTTTAAAACTATTACTCACATAGATTTATTGATTTTAAATCCTGTTGTAATTGGGCTTGACAATTTTAAGACATATTTATTCTTTTCACAGGTTTATAAACTTTAAACTATTTCCCCAAATGTTTAATACAATGTTATCAAACAGTGTTAATTCTAAAAATGGTGTATATTGTTCAGCGACAAAACTTTTTGTTGCATTAATGTTCCCAACATTTATTATTTAGTATTTATTCACGACACAGCCAGACAATGAGATTTTTTTTATTAACTGAATGAAGTCATAATAGTACAATAAAGCTGTACTAGAATAAGTAACCAGAATATTTTGGTACCAGTTTTACAATTTTTTTTGCTATTCATACATACATACCATACATACATAAAATATATACTATACAATATACACAATATTTTATTTTTATTTATAAAGTTTGTTCCGCAGGGCTCCATTCTGGGCCCACTTCTCTTCTCACTTTACTTATTGCCATTAGGACCTATTATCGCACATCGTAACTTGTCTTTTCATGTATATGCAGATGATTTGCAAATCTATCTGCCAGTCACTCCAAATTCCTCTCTTAGCCTAAATTCCATTGTCAGCTGCTTAACTGATCTCAAACATTGACTATCTCAAAATTTCCTCTGATGATAAAACTGAACGGATTCTGTTTGATGCATCCAGCAACTCCTCTCACATCTCTCACAGTCTAGGTCTGTCACTCTCTCACTTCACTCAGGTGGTAAAAAATCTAGGCGTGAAACTTGACCACAACTTGAAACTTGATAAACAAAATTGATTCTGTTGTGAAAACCAGCTTCTTTCAGCTCCGTCTGCTTTCTAAGGTGAAGACACTGCTTAGCCGTAGTGATCTGGAGAAGGACATCCATGCCTTTGTGAGCTCTAGGCTCGATTATTGCAACGCTGTCGGAATTAATCAGTCATCCACCTCTCGCTTACAGCTTGTACAAAACTCTGCCGCTCGCTTCTTAACTAATACACGTAAATACGAACACATCACTCCTGTCCTTTTTTCTTTGCACTGGCTCCCGGTTCAGTTTAGAATACAATTCAAGCTGTTGTTATTTGTTTTTAAAGCCTTAAATGGTCTTGCACCACCTTACATTTCAGATCTCTTGAAAATCCACCGACCCAGCAGAGCTTTGTGGTCTGCCTGTAAACATCTGCTGGAGGTGCCTCGCTCTAAGAGCAAGAAATGGGGGGGACTGGTCCTTTTCTGGTGCTGGCCCAATAAGCGTGCAATGATCTTCCTTGTGAGGTGTGTGCCATCTCTGACCTGGCACTGTTCAAAGCCAAACTTAAGACCTACTTATTCAAAGGGGCATTTGATGTTTAATTTTTAGCATCTTTTTTACTTTCTTTTAATTTAATTTGTGTTTTTAACTTGTACTGATTTATTATGACTTGATTGTATTTGTTTCACCTTGTGAAGCACTTTGGTTGATGCAAGGTATTGTTGGAAGGTGCTATTTAAATAAAGTTTATTATTATTATCATTAATAATAATAATTTCTTCAAAAAACAACATAAATTTCATATAAATTAAATGAAAGGCAGCAGAAGAAAAAAATCTTATATCTTTCCTTTTTCTATTGTATACACTATGTACAATACAACATATACAATATTTGACTTTGACTTTATTGAACACAATGTTATACAAGAATAAACAAAGCTCTTATGGTGTAATGTGCAGTTAATGAAGATTGGCCACAAGGTTGGTCCAATTCAGCCATGAAACCTGCCACACTAAAATGACAGGTGTTTCAGTTTCATCGTCTAACTTCTGTGCTTCTTATTGTCACTTTTATTTCTTAAACATTTTTGTTTATTGCTTAATTTCAACCAGTTCATCATGTTGTTTTAGGTACTCCTGCAGCGACAGAAGTAAAAGCTTCTTTCATTCTTTCACAAAAAGCATTTTAAACACAAAGAGTGGTGATTTTATGACATTTTTTTTTATTGTCCCTCATGGTTCGAGCTGCAGTTTTACAGTAAATCAACAAGATACCGCGTAACGGTAACATAATGACCCCCGCACGCTCAAATGCACCAGAAGTCTTTATTCCTAATAAATGTCATGCTACTAGGTGCATTCCAAAATCGTAGTGGCTTGGGTGGGGG